AATTCTAGAATGAAAGTGGCATAATTTATACATTTATTTACTAATTTTTTATGTTGGTTGTGAGATCGGTCAAATCTACCGAACCCGTACAGAGATTAATTACTGAAAATAAAATATAAAGTTTTTTCTCAAGAAATGTTTTATAACTATCTGAACATTATAAAGATTTCACATGTGAAATTTTGAAATTTTCTGATGCATAAAAGTATTTTTATCTTAAAATGAATATTATTTTGCATGATAGATAGGCAACATGCGAAAAAAAAACATGAGAAAAACATTCCTTTACAAACCTTAAGACTTAATAAAAAAAAACAACATATTTTGCATTGAATGCATTGTAATGTTTACTTATAATCTTCCAAATTTTGTTAACACTCGCTTACTAATCTAAAAGTTATAACATGAAAACTATAACAAGCATGAAATGGTTAAAAGGTCAGTCCCAGGGATCAAGCCTGTGCTGAAAGAGTTAAAACAGAGAAAATAGCCTTTTAGCTATTTGAATTTTGTAGTAGTGAAAAATTGTTTTGTAATGACCAAAATTTTATGACTTTTACTTAATTTTTTGTTATAGCAAAAAATGCGATCACAAATTGAAAAACATGCCCATAAAATTTAAAGTTATTGCGAAAAAACGAAAACAAAATGTTCTTAAACCGAAGGATACCTGTACTGATGCATAATGAAAACACAACAGTGAAGTTTATACCAATAGCTCATTGGATACAGACAAAATGTTATTGGTATTTTCAATAATGAGCAGATAGGTTTGATTGTTTGTGTAATACTGTTTCTTGGGATAACAAAATCTTAAGCTCAAGTCATGATTTTATAAAAAATGTCAGATGCTCAGTATGTTTCTTTTGGGCATCAGTGTAATTATCCTAGGGGTATGTGAAAGAAAGTTTTTAGTTATATTAAGACAATTTTAGTCGTTATCTTTATACATTACTGACATTGTTCTTGGTAGAGAGAGTGAAACTTGGGTTAAAAAAAGTTATTTAATATTCTTTCTCAGTTGCTTGAGTTTCTGTCAGACACAAATGAACAAGCTGCTGCAGATGTGCTGATATTTGTAAGGGAAGCCATGCAACGATTCGAACAGCTTCGTTCCCTCATTATTAACAAGTTATTGGAAGTTTTTTCTTCTGTCAAGTCTTCCAAGTAGGTGTTTGTAGATATACCCTTGTTAATGATAACTTACATGACACTGAATTGACGAGATATGCTTTACAAATAGAAGGGAGAAATAATTGCATGTATAAAAACAGTTATATGTATAATCATTATCTATGTTGTTAGTTTTTGTATATGACGTACAGGGTTGCTAACTCAAAAAAAACAACAGCAACATATCACTTCAAAATTTAAGTTGTTTTTTTTATTGCACTGACAAATATCTGGGAAAGATCAGGTACTGTAAAGTAATTATCTTGCAAATTAGCAATTACACATTAACCAAGAAACATTGAGTGTGTTGAATGTAACAGTGTTTTGTCTATGATCTGAATTATTATTCTTGTGTATATTTTTGTGGTCAAGCATATGTATATTTACACAACTTACCATTGCTTTGATAATCTCTTCAAGTCTATTTCTCCCAGTCACCAAGCTTTCCAGCATTGAAATTGACAGTTTGTATCGAGTGTCTGCTGTTTTGTTTTTTTCTTGCTTACTTTTTCACTCTCTCTCTCTCACATTCACACACACACACACACACACACACACACACACAGCAACAATACATAGTTATGTTACCACCTTTTAAAACCATTTTTATGAATCATGTACCTAATTATACACACACACCTATAAATGCAAGATAATGATGAATCAGGTCAGAAATATACGGCTTTTGGTGGAAGTTGGTAGGAACAGCTTTAAGATATGCTTAGAAGGATGCTGAATTTACCTTGAAATTCATGAATCTATGTGGTCATTTGTTTGGAAAAGTAACTTGTCCTGATATATGTTTTTTTTAAAAGTTTATTTATATTTTTACTAAATATTTGTAAATTTTTCAGTTGAAGTTGCTGTAAATATTCTACTTTTAAGATTTTAGTATAATTTATTTGAATTAACTTTTTTTTTCAAAATAATGTATACTACATGTTTATACTTTGTTTTCAAAATAATGATGGTTATCCCACAATTGAAAACAGATGGTATAATATTTATGAATTTTGTTTTTACTAGGCTTCAGATTTCTGGTTGTTTGATTATTTGTGATATAGTAAATAACTCCTTTTTTTAAGCAATGAGTAAACAGGAGTACAATGTTTGTCTAATACAAAAGTCTAAATGATTTATTATTAGGATTCATCGTGGTGCTTTATGGATTCTAGGAGAATACTGTAACACTACAGAAACTATTCAGAGCCTGATGACAGAACTTCGACAATCACTTGGGGAAGTATGTGGAAAAATTGAATTAGTACACAAACTT